AAATTGATTGAAACTGTTGTGAGGTTCTTGTTGGCGTTTTCAGAATCTCGCAGTGACAGTAGAAGACATGGGAAAGCGTAAGATCAGTGTGTGTTGGTCAAAGGTATCAGAATCAGTTTGGAAAACAAAGTCGGTTTGTTTATTTACCTTGTTACATGTCTGCACAGCAGGTACTTGCTCTTGATTTTGTGATCATGGCTGGGCAAGGAGAGACATAGACAGGCAGAGAATACATGAGTTAGTGTTCTGGGAAATTAAGAGAATCAGTTAAGAGAAGAAAAGAGTCTTGGTCTAAAGGCTATACTTTCTCTGGATATGGCTTTATGTGTGTAGACAGCCATTGATTCTCGGCAAAGGAAGAGAAGAAAAAAATTGGTTAGTGTTTTTGGTTCGGTAATTCTCTAAAACTCAGAAGAAAATCTAACAACAGGAGTAAGGTAAAGTGATATGCTACTTTCGGAGTTATGCTCTTTACCTGAAATTCCAGATTCGTTTGTTGTGCTGCTAGTGTCGGGTTTCTTCAGAAAGCTTGAGAAGAGAAGAAGAATAGATGATTATTACACACAACGAGTAAAACCAGAAAGGGAAAGTCACGAAGCTGACTGATTTACCTGTTTTCATCAGAAGATTCGATTGAAGTTTGCGATTAAGATTGGTTCTTCAAGGAGCATGCTAAGAAGAAGAAGAATTGGGTTTAGGTTCGCAGAAAGAGAGACCCAGAAACAAAGATCAGAGAAGAAACTTCATAAGAAACGAGTTGGGTTTCGAAGATGTTCGTACCTGTTGTACCTGGTTGGTCTCATCATCGAATCTGATGAAGGAAGACTCAACGACAGTGACGATTCTAGTTAGAATCGATGAGAGGAACTTGATTCTTCGGTGAATATGGAAAAGGAGAATCAAAGCTGTTAATTACTTCACTAATAAGATGAGATTTGTGGAGAAGAAGATGAAGCAAGGCGTCGCAACAGAGACGCAGAGGCTGAGAGTCTTACCGGAATATCTCAGGGGAGGCAGACCGGCGATGTCGACGCCGGAGCCAGCGAACGTGACAGTCGACGGAGAAGTCGAAGTGTCTGTCGGAATCGCAGAAGATCGAAAGAAAGGAAAAGCTAAAGGGTTTGTCATTAGGGATTTTGACCAAGTCAAAGGTGGAGAATGTGAATCTAATTGCCTTGTCCAAAATCAGACCAAACTAGACAAATCTACTCTCTAACCAATAAGGTAATATTTGGGCTTATTGGGCTTACACATATTATGAAATTACAAGAAGAGACAAGCTGGGCCAAGAGTGCACAATGGCCCAAGAGAAGAAGAGATCGAGATAACATCAGAACTAGAGATAACACCTTGAAGCTGAAGTATAGGAGTACATAATCTCCTCGTGCTTATCTTCTGGTGATAGAGATCTTCTATATAATGTTTGTTAAGATATCTCTTCTAGTAACGCTTCTTTTCTAGAAAGAGAGCAAACCTGTATAAATGAGAGAGATCGATTAGTGCTTGTAAAACCTTTTCGA